GACGAGTTTCGGTGATGGACTGACATGGACTTACTGACAACGCTGCTGGTGCATGCTTGGCGTATTTCAACGTGAACTTTGGTTGGGCACCTCCTTACCGACGCAGCTACATGGAAGTTGCCAGCTAATGCTGTTACACAGGCTAGTGTTATATCAAACACAGACCGGTCACTGGTTTGTGTAGTTTCGACATTCGTGTCACCCCAAGGCGAGATGAGCGTGACTAGCAAGCAATGGATAGGTGTGAGTTAAACGTTTAAAAAATGCACGGACAGACTCCATAATTTGTCCAGAGTAAGTTTCCCGGGTGTCAAGTAAGCAATAGATATGGGGAGCAAATAGAGCTGGAATGTCAGTGTACCACAAGCCATCTTTAGTTCCATAGCTACGATCGGTCACAGTAACTAGCAAATGGGGAAATAGAAGCCACCAACTAACAGGCTCGGGAAGATAAACTGCGACGTTTAACAAAGGCAAGAAAATCACCAAGTGTGTACAGTAAACACAACAGACCGCCGTCGCGAAGCAATTAGTAAAATTTGGGTTGACATATGCATCCACTTAGTAAACTACGAAAAAAGGAAAAAGAGAAGACCGTAAGCCATAAGAAAGTTGGAAAGAAAGCTGTAACCGGGTAGATAAACTGTGGGTAGACTATTGGAGTCGATCAGAGTATCGAAGCGCGGCTGATTAAGTGGTTGAATTTCAAGCGTAATAAGAAAAACGATAACACCAGAAGTCGAAAATGAAGAGAAGAACACATACGTCGCTGGACCGAAGGAACAAGAGCTGGGATCAAGAAAGCAAAGGGAGCACAAAAATATAAGCTGTACCGTGCCGGATTATTATTATTATTATTATTATTATTATTAATTGTCATCGTAATTAACAACAGCAGTACATCAGCTATTAGAAATAATGTTTCGCTGTCGCACGACCACAATGACCTACGGAAGGAAGAATAATAGGTTGAAGAAAATGGGATCTACCATAAAATTCTAATGCCCTAAGCAAACCGGTTGCGATTTATGATTGTTGATCCGGTCGGCTCTTGGTTCTGATTCAAGTGAAGTCATCCTGGATTGCGTCGAATGGCAAATGAGAGCACAAAATGTGAGGGTCATTAGTTGTGCATGGTTGGCGGCATCCGGTTTCGGATTTACCTGTCACTGTGGCCAGCCAAATGACGCCTTGGCCTACAAAGGAAGCATGGGTGGCTTGCGCTGCACCACTCACAGCTCCAATCACACACCCCATATCCAGTGTAAACCCGAAGGAATAAGACCGGGAGGCATGTGGATGGGAGCCATGTTTCAGCAACGGAGTCGGCCCACACTCCCTCACATGTAAACACAAGCACGCTGTATTTGGAGAATCAAGCGAACACAAGGCGGTGGCTGGACCGTAGTGCACTCCACACTGAGTGCATGGAACCACTCTTCGAGCCTAGCACAACCATTGAGACCGTGCACCCTATACCCTCCAGCAACGACCAACTGTCTCCTGGAGCCATTATAGAGGAGGTAGTGGGAAATATACAGGTAGGCACCTTGTCAACATGCACATCAAGCGCAGCCACACCGCGGTTGTCTAACAACAGCCAATCACTTGAAACGTCGATAGCAAATTAAACATATCGATAAAGTAAACGTGTATGACGATGTAAATAATCGCTAAATGAGCATATAGAGTAAATTGAGTATAAGCGAATCCGCGATTAGTACAAAATGTCCGTAAGGTATTAAAAAATACCATGTGATAAAGTTACGCAAGTTTACCACAATTAGCATGAGCGACGTGTGCAAGTTAGAAGAGGATTATCAAGTACGCAGTACACACCAAATAAAGTGGAATGAATTTTATCCACATTAAAAAGACCTATTTAAAGGGTAAGTTGGTTTAGCCCAACTGCGGTGAAGAAGCATCATGAATGTAACATCAGACTCAGTATGGGGCAGGTTGTGCATGACAGCCATCGTAACCTAGTTAGTAGGAATGACATTTTGGGTAAGGGTATACTTAAGTTTGACGTGCTTAAGTATTCCAACAAGGTAGAAATTGTGATGGAGAAGTAGGTGAGCCAAGGAGCAAAACTAAAACCGGCCAAAGGAAGTGAACGTATCGGGTTCTGACACAGGTAGTGATTTCAGAGAGAATGATAACATGAAAGATAATCGGTTCATTGTACAGTAGGATGGCAACGAGGCTGGACTTTAACGTGGTACGACGGTTTAAGTGCCTCCTTGACCAATTGAGTAGGTGGTGCCTCCGGGCACCTTGAGAGCTACTCCTACCAGGTTGGTCTATGGTGGGAGGTCAGACAAAGTCTCCTGGTTCTTCAGGTTGCGAGTTTGAAATGGGATGGTGTCCATTTCGGTAAAACTAAATCATTGCCACCTCCCCGCTGCCTTGCGAATAGGATTTTGAACCAAAGGCTTTGGCTGAGGACCCTAATCGTCATCCAGTCAAGGTCTGGGCGCCCTAGCAGTATCTCAGCCCACATACAATCATGACTATTTCTTCAAACTTCCACCACATCCTGCATCGGCCGTCGCGCAGCTTAGCAATGGTCGCCTTATCTGCTACATACAGCAGGGTGGATAAGCGAAAACATGCTGCTGCTGGCGACTCCCTTCTTTCTTTTTCAGCTGTTTCTCTTACTCCCATCCCGACACCCATTAGTAACCTGCCTTCTATAATCCAGCTTAACTGACAGCAACCGAAGTGCCACTGGTATAGAACCATCTGCAGCCACCATCCCCCAACACCTATCGCCAACAGCACCTCATAAGACCACGCTAACCCGTTTTCATGGCGACATTCAACGTTCGCACTCTAAGACAAATAGGTCAACAGTCTGCAATCGCACGCACCTTGGACACACTGCGTATTGACATGTGTTGTGTGTCCGAAATAAGGATCAATGACAAGAATGGGGTTGTTGAATTAACTGCACCCGGCTTGTCTTCTCGTTACTGGTTGCACGCATCCGGAGATGCCGACTCAGCACTCACGGGTCAAGCTGGTGTAGATATCATTCTAGGCTCTAAGGCTGAGCCATCGTTGGTTGATTGGATTCTGGTGAACAGCCGTTTATGTGCAGCCCGTTTGACGACATCAGCTAAGGTTGATTCACGAAGCAGTACAAAACACTGTTTGTTTGTGATTTCCGCTTATGCCCCCACCGACTGCAGTTCTAATGCTGTCAAGGACACATTCTATCATGAACTGAACGCGCTACAACGCAATGCTACTAGTTCAGATATTATAGTACTTGCAGGGATATGAACGCACATGTATGACGTCTCAGCGCTTCAGAAGCTCAGCTGGGTGGTAATTATGGGTTTAACTCCGAACGGACTGACAACGGCGAGCGTCTGCTGCAACTGTGTGCGGAGCACCAGTTGTTTCTTAGTGGCACTGCTTTTAGACACAATTGGCGCCGAAGTGCCACTTGGCGTCCTCCTGTAGCTGGACAGCGATGGACCCAAATTGAGCAGATTGCCATGTTACAGGTAGCGTGGTTCCATCTTGGAGTGCTGCTCGTACTGGAATACCTGAGTCGACTCTGATCATGCCTTAGTACACTGTCGTTTCTCCATGAACTTTACAAGGAGGCGAACCAAACGCTTCCACCGATTGGCAACTGAGCAATTGTCTCAGTTCTCGGTCAGACAAGCCTATCAAAATGCACTGCATACCGAACTTTCGCTGTCTTGTGATAAAGACACGGAACTTCAGTGGAATGGGATCTCGGCCGCCTTTACAGGACATGGCTCGCAGTCGACAGCAGTGGCGAGTATGTTGCCGTCTCCTAATCGGATTGCCTGTTTGAATTGTGTTTGGTGCTGAGTTATCTGCGGGGTAATGACTGATTATGACGCGGGGCAGTGGAAGCCGCAAGGAAGCTGTCTCGCTGATGCCGCTTTATCCTTGCACGATGGCCAGCTGTTTGTGACGGTGTGTTGTTTACACAAGGCATAGGCGCCTTGACCCTGAATGTTTGCTTAGGGCATTAAGATTTGCAGGTAAGTCCCCCTTTTCTCCATCTTATTATTCTTTATTCCATAGGTCATCACGGTTGCATGGCAGCGAAGCATCATTCCAAATGGCTGATGTACTGTCGTTGGCGTTGTTGTTGTTGTTACAGTAGGATCGCTCGGATTGCAAAAGATTAGGCTTATCCAATAAAGATCGCGATGGTCTAGCTATCCACGGAACCTGAATGGGAATCCGATGGGCTCCACTTCACTGCGATCACCTACAATTCGACAACGCGAAAGAAGCATGGCCGCAGGAAATGTTTGTTGGTGGCCATGTGGTGGCAAGCAGATGCATTGTAAGCACGCGTTGATCATACGGGGACCACAAACCAAGAGTATTTTAGTGGGCTCAGCTAGATTAATCAAGTGTAATCCGAGCCTCGAAATGTAAGGGACCCCGGCCAACTTTATCCTCATCTCCATGAGAATAAAGGGTGACAAAAATGGAGAGAGACAAAAAGTGAAGTAAATCGATGCAGAGTCGTAAAGAGTTAGAATCGTCAGATGAGAAGGTTAGTGTCAATGAGCAATAGCTTTCATCATAGGCTCGTCGGTAAATGAAGATCTCAATGTCCACAACACGGTCAGGTTGTCCGAAAAGCTTAGTGAGAAGGATCCAGCCCGAGGTGGTCCGTGAGGAGGCGGTTTGAAACTCTTACGCCCTGGATTCAATCAAGCGCTCTGGTATGAGCTTCGGTGCCTTTGCAGTATCCCATCCTACGTAAGACTATTTAAACTTGCGGGGCAGCGGGTTGTCAGTGCAGAGAATTGGCGCATCGCTGATATCTTCCTAATGTGATGGATTACAATGTGTATGTAATCTTCATCAAAGACGTATAGATGAAGCCGTTAGAGAAAAAAAGACAGGTAGACAAGGCAAACAGACCAAACTTTCTACTGTAATATAGTGGCCGCAGAAGCCGGAGCTACAGGACCTCGATTCGGGATGCCACTCACCTGGAGCAATTTAAACAACTTGATTCCAAATACACAGTCTATGTTGAAGAATTTTGCGTCTGTCATATCATAGATAAGGACCAGCCCGCTTCGCATGGCGCTCTCTCTATGGAGAAAAAACAGAGTAGAAAGCAAGAACCATTGAATACTTTTTCAAGCAAGTGTTACTATTTAGAAAGGAAAAAGAGCACTGAGATGTGTAGATTGATTTGAGACAAGTGTCAGACATATATTCGGTTATGCTTGGGTAGGTTGGGTAGTTATGGTGCAACTAACCAAGCGAGATGAATCCAGAGTTGGCAATGACTCTCAGCCTGGTCTGGGTAGCGGCCCAGGAGAATGGCGTGGGGTTGAGTGATCTAGCAACGCATCGCAAGAGACGGAAACGCATTGGCCAAATCCAAATGTGGTGTTGGAAGAGCGGGAGAATGAGCAGGACCATGCATGATTGCAAAAGTGTTTTAGATACTTGCTGAGAGGTCCGCGCTCAGGTATACGGGGAAGAGTAGGGGACCCACTGAATTAACTGTATCCGGGTGCTTTAGACAGATTAATGATAGATTGGATTGTTCGAAGTTTGCAAACCATCAGTTGGTACTGACATAGATCCGCCACCGTGAGAAGCGGGTCCAGATACAAGTAGTATGCACACGAAACGACGGTTGGAGAGAGCGGAATAAGGGTCACAGGGAGTGGTTGAATATATATAACCGCAGAGAAAGCAACAGAGAAAACAACTGGAGCACCAGGAGAAGCAGTCAGCTGTGGTCAAACCAACCGAAAATACTCAATACCTTACCACGCACTAAGCACAGTGAAGTCACGAAAGACTGTTGGTGGAAAACAATCACTGAGCATCTAGAGTATGAGGTTGCGTTGGCAACGGCAGCCATGCAGCCGAAATAGATCAAAGTTGTCACGTAAGAAACTCAGTAGAAACACACGCGGAGCATGGCCAAAGTGAATTGACAGTGTTGATATGGTATAATAACGTCCGTGGAGAACCTTAATCTGCTGACGGACTAATAGCTGAGAGCGGACCCAACTGACAAGCACCCAAAAGTGGAGAGTTGACTAGCAATGAAGGATTGATTTTATCCACAATTATGGGGTGCCAAGAAGCGATAGACATTTGTGTACATCGTGTGGCGAACAACCCCATGCTCGGCACGCCTAGTAAGACTTACAACCCCTCCACCGGGTGTACGGCATGTAGAGTTGCAAGAGATGAATGTGGTGAGAATCATGAAGAGGTTTACCAAGGTTAAGCACAGCGCGAAATAAGGCGGAGGGGACACAATGTGCCCGCCAAATGGTAAGTATGACAACTGGTATTATGCATCACCTGCAGCGTACAATATGACAAAGAACAAGGCCAACCTCGAGCATATACACAGGGTCAAAAGGAAATTAATGTAAGCACCAGACAATGTCCAAAAAAGAAGCCTTAACTAGCTTAGTTCGTCACAATTATTGGACCGCGCGGTGTATGCAACCAATCGCATGGTGGGGGCGGGGCGGTTTCAACTAGTTACGTAGGAGTTGACAGCATTAATTACCAAGTCCTGAAGATTAGTGGTGAAAACCAATGTCACGAGTGCAGCTGGGATGTCTGAAGTGATAAATACACCTAAGATAAATATGCAGATGCAATTTGGCGTAAAAGCATCAGACCAACAACCTCATCTTAGTAGCATGGAGGCGATTAGAAATGAGTACTGTAGCACACACATTACCTTTGAATGAATTTGATTTGACTCCAGAAATACGAGAATCCGTTTCATCCACCACACGCCGGCCCTTAGTCTTAAAGATCACAAGCCTGCCTTGTAATCCGAGGGCGCGGGTTCGAGCCTGCGTAGGGACCGGGCGACCCTCGCAGTATCCTTAGCTCACATGCAACTGATGGGGATTGCGCTGCAGCGAAGCGACGGTACTGTGTACCAGCCAACTGTCGATGTCTCACCATATGAAATGATTACCAAGGCAGTTGTTCAGTAGACCCCCTGGTTGCAATGACTATGGAATTCGACTCAATGACGCTTTTGATTGTGAGAACATGAGGAGAGTCAAGCGGTGGTTCCTAAGTTGATCTAGAGTAAACACTACGGTTTTGATGCACGTACATCAAGCAATGACAGCAGCTCACTTACAACTTGGCAAGTTTAATTTTGAACCAACGACTGGTACATTTTCCAAGGAAGGAGTACAATTGAAAAAGGAAAAGAATACCGTGAAAGAACGCTCGAGCCGAGAGCAGACTGCATCATCACCTCTAATAGTTCGCTTCTAGAATACTGCATACTAGAATTATGTGATGCTACCCACACTTGAAAAGTGCGTGCAGGACGCAACTAAAGCCGGCTTGGGTCAATGGAGAGAAAGGAGCATAAGCTGAAAAGAATACGGGCAGTCAAGGACAAAATCCATCCAGGTGGGAATGGGGTCGAGTTCATACGGACTCATACTATGCGTGATTACCGAAACTATACAGGAGCCCTAGCTGCTTGAGCAAGCGGAATAATTACGTGAACGGATAGGCACATCGACAATGAAACATACACTTTGAAACAGAAACTAGTGTCAGACAGATAGGTGAAAAGAACGAGAAATGTTTGACACTATGAAAAGGCAGGTAAACTGACCGTTTAAACGTGGCATCCAACTGGAACAGAATGCTTTGGAGGAGAGCACGTTGGTTTGTCGTTGAGCGATACAAACGGACAAAAAACTGGGCGACGCGAGCTCCATTGGGCTCGTGGTCATTCTAGTTTAAGAAGAAGCGAACACGATTAATGTTCGATTTGAAGCCTTACCAGGATCACAAATTTGCCGGATAACAATTCTTGCCTGACATCCTCATCGAAAGGATCAATGCGCTCTGGGAGATTTTCTCGGACAAGCATATTCTGAGAGTAACCATGGAGAAAGTGTAGAACGCACCTGATAATTGTTGTACAATTCAATAGCCTGTGCAAGAGAAAATTTTCTGGCAGCCAAAAAACAAAATGCCACCTGTTGTAGGTCGCATGACGTGCTTGAGAGCCGTAGGGATGACAAGCAGATAAATTCATCGATCCGCTGTGAACGGAGTACGGTAGTGAAGAAATAGGTGAAGTAAAATGGTACAACGGTTATTATGGTAGAGATGAAAGGTAGATAAATACATAATGCAACTGTTATGTAGGTGGCGTATATTTGCTAAAATAATAATAAGAACACTAATCGTCAGCTGTACACCGGAAGGGCGCTTCGCTGTCACGCGACCATCCCCAATCGCGCGTGGGCTGAGTATTTCGCGAGAACGCACGCCCCTATGCGGATTCGAACCGGTGACTTTATGATTGCAAGCCAGGTGTGCAGACCAGTCGGCCGCCGGCCGACTGAAGTAAGACATAGCTTGGAAATTATTCGACGGTTTAGGCACCTAGGTGGTAAGCTCCGGTTTTCGACCAAACTGGTTTCCGCGCAAAACGTCAATGATACAGTCAAACAATAGTAAAAGTATAAATCGACCGGTTCGTGTAATTTAACAGCAGGAACTAAATAAATAAATAAAAAAAGAAACTAAATAAAAAATAATCTGTATTCATTACATCAAAAACGAAGTAAAACCCACCACCAGGTGCAAAAAATGGAAGGGAACATTTAAAGTGAAAAGTAAGGCGTTTTACAGAAAAAGCGGGAGTATCCTTCAATAAAAAAGGAGAAGCGAAAATCCACCTACATGTTATAATGTCAGTCGCATGCCGCAAGGTAAATTATAAGGCAAGAAGCTATGAGATGGAATGGAGGAGTCACGGACTAGATACCTCTATACATGACCAGATGACTAAAAAGACGGCGGCTACAAATAAATGTGAATCCAACACGTAAAGGCATCAGCAGTAGGCCGGTACGCAGTACCGACGCTCCGCTGCCGAGCAACTACCACCAGTCGCGCTGGGCTAAGGATATCGCGAGGGTCGTCCAGTCCCACAGGCAAGCTGGAACCCGCGACCACCGGATTACAAGACAGGCTTGTAATACTTAAGACCACGGGACGGCGATCCAACAGGTAGAAAAAAAGCCATCGATTTCTGAAGGGATCTAAAACCTCAAAATGCTAGCAAATTTACTGATGGACGTAGTACATTCAAACCAGCCATGGCGACGACCTGTCTATGGCGATCACCTGCCCATGGCGACCAGAAAAAATATCTCCAACGATTTTCTCATTGGTCTTAATCTGTCTATAGTGTCCACCTGTCTAAAGCAACCGCGGCCACGAATTTGTCGTCCCCAGACGTTTCAGCACCTGCTCAAGGCGACCATCACTAGCACGACTGGCCGAGATTGCGATTAGAGGTATCATGAAAGTCTGTCACCGTATCGCCCAGATAGCTTAGATTTCGTTCTAAGGTGTCATGATAATCGTACAAAAACGATTTTTATCGCGAACTCTCCGCTCTTCCTCGCATAGCAAAAAACGTCGACACTGTGATGGTAGATGATGACATGTATTACTAAGTGGGTCGAGTTTCAGACTCTGAGCAACACCTGCGAGGTCGCTTAGGGGTCGATGCACACTGAACAGACAATGGTGATCGATTCCTGCAGCTGTGGGCCAACCAGAACTTTTACCTTAGCAACACTTTTCTAGCACAAACGTTCACACATCATCACCTGGCGCTCACCGAATTCCTCAATGAGCCGGAATTAAATCGACTGTATTGCCATCAGCTACAGATGGCGCACATCAGTCTAAGACTGTTGGTCAACTTGGGGCACATGCCTGGATCCCGACAATGCTCCAGTGCGCGCACGCCTAGCGCTCACTCTTCCCGCTTCAAAAACGCGTCAATTTTTTAACCTTATCTGCATCTTGAACTCGCAGTCTACAGTCGAAGAATATCGTGACGAATTGACTCGCCAATTGTCAGTGATGGATGAGGTTGGTGAGTCGGACAATGACTAGGATAGTCTCAAGCGCGTCATGAAAATGCCTTTGAAGCTTGTTGTACACCCAAATTGATTCGTTCTAACTGAATATGGATCTCTGAAGCATCGAGTAATTTGATCAAGGCGTGTAAACAGGTTCCAATGGTCACTGAAACTCAGCGTGTCCGTAACTCCCAGCAACATCTGACGAGTCTTCGAGACGACAGGGAACGGTGGTGGGTGTATAGCACAAGTGAGATGGAGAAAGTCAGTGCTATTGAAAATATACGAGTGGGTATTGCACTGCTCTCCGAGCTAAACGATTAGTTTGCAGACGTTTCGCTGCCTGACTAGGCAACATCGTCAGTGCGGCTTTAAGGTCCTTTTTCGCAGAGCCTCGTAAGCGACTACGAGATCTATGTGCTTATTGATCGAGTTCTGCTTTCAACACCAGACCAGCCATGATCAGAATTCTTTGATGTCCGTGCATATGGATGCCGAAGGCTACCAGTTCCACCTAGAGCACGCCGCACTACTCAGAGGAGCCACAAGCCGGCAAGCACGTAATTTTATGGAGGCCCGGTATTCAAAACAGAACTCGATCAATAAGCACATAGATCTTGAAGTCGCTTACGAGGCTCTGCGAAACAGGACCTTAAAGCCGCACTGGCCATCAGGGAAAAAGTAAAAACATAAAGGAAAACCATTATTTTAGCAATTAATCGTTATCTTCGATCGTGCATTGATTTCGAAGATTCCGAAACCTTCCATTCCCTCACGTGATCGCCAGTATACGGAGTTTTGGCAGGGGGACTACTAATTTTATCAGTTGACCTTCGTTTTCTAGAAGGCGAAGGTCATTGAGCCCCTATACATTTGGCGTAGGTCTGGCGTAGTGGTACAGCGTTTTGGCTGCATTTTAGCCACGTTGGCAGTGTTTTTGTTAACGCGTTTTTCGTGGTCAAAGTCGTTGGACTTTTGATTTTTCTTCGGCTGGGCTAGAATTTTTGCGGGGAAATGTTTGGGTGTTTAATTCGGAATAGCGAGAAAAAGTGAAGATCTAACACTGACGATGTTGCCTAGTCTGGCAACGAAAGGTCTATAAACTATGCGTTCAGCTCGTAGAGCAGTGCATTACCCACATCCACATCTTGAGCAAGGGATATTCTCAACCATTTCAAGTCACTCTGGGTGTGACGCGCTGAAATCTGCTCACCGATGGGAGATCTTTGTCAGCTGGCAACCCTCCACTGACGAACAGCTGTCCTCCGTTCAGGAATGCTTGCGAAGTTCGGTTTTGCCACCGAGTCTGCATTACCGTCCCCCGATCAACCATCCTTTGGCTTGGAAGATGACAGAACAACATGGACGACGAATGTTGCGCCCGCTGATCACAGATGCACACAACCAAATGGTGATTGACCAACAGAAAGCAATATGCTCAGCCCAGCTAGGATCATAGTTGAATGAAGAATTGGAAAAAGCGACAGCCATCAAAACACACAAAACACAATGCAACAGCAAAGGGAAGCTAGAAGAGAGGCTAAGTTAATTTTGCAACAGAAGCCAACTAGCGAAGATGGGTGGATTGCGAACCTATCCAAGAGAAGTTTATCGAACGCTGAAAAAGCAGTCATTGTCCGACGTATGCAGCTCAATGTCAAGGATTCCAATCCCATCGATTTCCTCGTTGCATTGGAATCAACGCTAAAGTCATACAACGTCGCACCTGAGGCACAACAAGAGATCAGAACAGAATCATTCCGGCACTCAGTTACAAAGTTGAAACCAACATATTCAGCACCACGGAAGAAAAGGCTCTGATGAATCTCAAAAAGACCAAGAGCATAGTTATACTGCCAACCGACAAAGGATGCCTAACGGTTCTAATGGACAAAACCGATTACATGATGAAGGCACATCTGCTCAGCGATACCAACACACCAACCGATAAACGAAGATCCGACAAAACGCTTAGAAGGCAACATCAAGCGCACTCTGCTAAAACTAGAACAAATGGGGCGAATCACAAAATTGGAACATAAATTGATGAAACCGCAAGATTCGATACTACCGCGATTCTACGGTCTACCAAAAGTACATAAAAGCGGAGTGCCTCTCCGTCCCATCGTGTCGCTACCTGGAGCACCAAACTACAGACTTGCAAAACAGCTCTGGAGACGGCTAAAACATCTGATTGCGGGATCAGAACACTCGATCAACTCGGCAGAACAGTTCCTAGCAAAACTCAAAAGCACAACCATAGAACAAGACGAAATAATGGTCTCTTTTGATGTGACGGCGCTGTTCACATCGATCGACATCAACTTGGCGAAACAAACAATGGCTGCTCTACTGGAGGAACACGCAGCTTCCGATACAAGTAGTAAAATCGACGCCGGACAAATGATGGAGTTGCTGGGATTCTGTCTAACAACACATTTCACCTTTAACGGCCAAATCTACCAGCAGATAAGAGGCACACCAATGGGATCGCCGATCTCTGGACTGGTAGCCGAAGCAGTAATGCAGGCGCTAGAACGGATAGCACTCCCAATTGCGAAACCGAAACTTTGGGTGCGCTACGTAGACGACACCTTCGTCATCCTCAAACGCTCCAAATTAGAGGAGACACATGGGCTAATCAGCAGTGCGTTCGACGGCATCCAATTCACGAGGAAAGAGGAAAACAATGGGAAGCTGCCATTTTTATACGTTCTCATACGTAGGACTGGTTCGGGGCCACTGGAAACCACGGTCTATCAAAAGTCAACACATAAGGACCAGACCAACAACTAGAACAACAATCATTCGGCAGTCCACAAACGCAGCTACGTGCTAGCACTTTCCAAAGAGGCACGGACGCATTGTAGCACGCAGCAGCTGAGGATGAACGAGGCGGAGAGTACGCATCTCTTCAGGCATGATTAAACGGATTTCATAACCCAAAAGGACCTCATTCTGCGCTGTTTGGCCCCAAATAATGCAACACAACACACCACAACAAATGCGAACGCTAAAAAGCCAAAGTGTTAACTTACGGTCAACGGAATCTCGGAAATGGAGCGAGAGTTTAGTAGACTTAGGAGTCGAAATTGCTCACCAACCAACGAAAAACCATACGAATTCGCTCTCTAGTGAAGAGATAAACTTAGCAAGTG